CCTCTACGACAGGGCAAGGAACTGTATAATATGCAACAGATGGAAGTGGAGTACTAGCTCTGCTCTCCTGCTGAGTCACACTTGGCAGGCCTTGTCCCATGGGTGTAAAAGGGTATCCATACGTATTGTTGGTACTGATGCGGTTGAACTGGCCGTGGCTTCATTCAGCAAGACAGCTCGATCCTGATGCTGGGGATCGCTTTTGGTTTCAGATCAAGATTTCGGTACAAGGCTTTTCATAAAATCATGATAGTTGCCACCATGAGTCTGACACAATGTATGACTCTTCCAATCTTTCATGCGTTCATCGGGTGTCACACTGTTTCTACATTCACAGGAAAAACTTAGAAGTCTTTCCCAGAGGTGAATGATTCCTTCAATGAACTCCTGTGCATGCCTAGGGAGGTTAGTGAAGGATCAATGTTACTGCCAGAGCGATTTGTGGTGCTAATATGACCGAACCAGTGAGAGCATGATAGTGAATGATGCCAGGAAACAGCTCTTCGCACAGAAGTCTAGAAACCTGGAGAACTTTCCTCCATCCCAGGCAGCACTCAAGCAGCACCTCAAGCGCACTTGCTACCAGGCCAACTGTTGAAACCAGATATTGGCCAAGAATCCAGAGATGCAGAGCCATCTGACTTGGGCTGGACAAACGAAACAACTGGGTGGCAGCCTCTTTGGACCACTCTCCCGGAAGCATAAAAATTGTGGCATGAATAATCCACTGTCGCTGCAAGAAAGGATGCAATGAACTGTGATCTTGTTCTGGAGACTGTTAGATTTTGATCGTTACCATCATTAGGATATGCATAAGTTGTGGACAGTGCTAAATTCATGTAGATATCTATAGCTGTGGTTGTGAACAGGTTTTAGGTCGTATTTGGAATAGCTTTTTTTGTCTTCTGGGCCCAATTTCATAAAGCTGCTAACCGGTAAGCACATTTTCGTACTATACCTGTAGCAGACAAATTTGTACCTTGTACGTTCACAATGGGTTGCATTGTTACAAAATTCATTTTCGTCCAGTAAGCAGCGTAAGGTTAATGCATTTTCGTGTGCTTACGGTTAGCAGTGCTTTGAAGTAAAAACTAATACGTAAGCACAGAACCAGCCGATAAGCAGCTCTATGAAATTTGGCCCTGGATAGTCAAAGTGGTGGTACACGGGTCTTTTTATTAATTTTTAAAATAATGAAACCTTAAGTGTCAAAATAGAGGCAAAGTTTATTTTAAAAAAGAAAACAGCACTTTTTTTAGCCTAATATGACCTTTAACTTGACCTTATTGCAAATCCCTGAGTTCTGGCGATCTCAATGTATTACGTAATGAATTGGCATCCCCAAGTTAGTTGGAAATGACACCTCAAACGTTTTTCTACACTTTTTGGTTCAAAAGTTACCACGTTTGTACATTAGACCATGCGGACTGGCGGCTATTTTGGATTTGACCTCTTCGGGTCATCAGAGGTCACATCAAACTGTTAAATAAACTAACTGAAAAGGATTAAGGTGGAGAACTCTGCAGGGGAACCATTCCTTAATAAATTTGAGAACATATCTAGGGAGAACAAATGACAAATAATGGGGATTTAACCTTCTGTAACCATTCAAAACTTGCTATTTTTAGTCAATTTTGACCTCGACCTTGACATAAATGCCACACCCTGAGTTCTGGCGATCTCAAATGTACTACCAGATGAACTGGCATCCCCAATTTAGTTGGAAATGACACCTTAAATGTTTTTTCTGGATTATTTGGTTCAAAAGTTACTGCGTTTATACATTAGCCCTTGCGGACTGGCGGCCATTTTGGATTTGACCTCTCAGGGTCATCAGAGGTCAAATCAAACTGAAATAGACTACCTGAAAAGGATTAAGGTGGAGGACTATGCAGGGGAACCATTCCTAAAGAAATTTGAGAACAAATGACAAATAAATGAGATTTAACCATTTGTAACCATTCAAAACTTGCTATTTTTAGTCAATTTTGACCTTGACCTTGACCTAAATGCAAAACCCTGAGTTCAGGCGATCTCAAAAGTATTACCAAATGAATTGGCATCCCCAAGTTAGTTGGAAATGACACCTTAAACGTTTCTCTGGACTATTTGGTTCAAAAGTTAAGCATGTTTGTACATTAGACCATGCGGCCTGGCGGCCATTTTGGATTTGACCTCTCAGGGTCATCAGAGGTCAAATCTGACTTCCCTCCACATCTGAAAATAAATCTTATGGTGAAAGCAAACTATGCTAGAAGTTTCATGCTTTTATCAAAAAGTGCACAATTTTCTTGCTAAGCCGCTGCACTACAGTCCTTAGGCCACTCCCTACTATTCCAGATATTGCAACAGAGACGCCACACCAGGTCAGTACCTTCTTCACCTGTAGACAAGTTGTCAAAGCCAGGGGATTTGCCATCCTTCAGTTTTTTCATTGCAAGCTCCACTTTTGATCTTAATGGAGGGGGCTCCATTTCATCACTTTCCTCCCACTGAGTGTCAACTTGTTTCTGTGCGGCAAACAGCTTGTTACTATACTGCACCCATCTTTTCTTGATGTCTTCATTCTCCGTCAGTGTTTTGCCATTGTCATCATTAATTACATCCAGTCTTGAGATTTTTTTTGGTGTGATTTCTTTCACAATTGCGAATGCTGCCTTAGAGTTGTTCTTGTGACGCTCTAGGTCCTCACACTTCCACTCGATGTATTTCCTTTTGTCCTCCTTCACACTACATTTAACCGCCTTATTATTGTTGCGTTTTGCTTTTGTTTATATCTTGTAACATATCATACTTATTAATGTTATTAATTTCGTTAAAAAATTATCTAATTTCGAAAATAAACAAATTTCAACCACGTCAAACCTTCCTCACCGGGTCATATATTTTTCTTCAATGTATAATACTTTGGTAGTTTGATTACCTATCTGTTTTCATTTTGAACAAATTAAACACAATTTTGTACGGTGAAAAGAATATACTGAGTCACATTTGTCTTTAGTCGACCAGTCTTTTATTCATACACAAGTTTCTAACCTATCTCTATAATTCTCTATGAATTGTTAATTATCATTCTTCATTTTGCACAATGCCTTTCATTCTCAGAAATAGTCTCGCGATGAAATATGTGATGACACGTACTAAAGATATGAGAGTTTTGATATGTAAATATTAAAAGACATGCCTTTGAATATGAATAGTAATGTATTATAATAGTGGATTATGACCAACAGCGTGGTAAAAGGGAACAAATTAATAATAAACAATATTGAGGATAGTAGTATTGATCAGGATAATAATAATAAATTATTAAATCAAGGTTTGATCGAAAGATAGGTCATATAAACAGTGAAATCAAGAAGTAAAAATGTTTTGTAACACCGTATATTGTTACTTTTTCAATATTTTGTCATCTTGTATTTTTTGCTCTTCCCTATAACATGTTTAGGATTTACAGTTAAACTGAAATGTCAAATTAAATAAAGAAATAACGTTTATAATAATCAATAATAAATAAATATAATAAATTTACATGAATATGGACACGTGTAAGTGATTATTATTCATACACGTGTAAGTGATTATCAATCATAACATTAATAATAATTACTTACACGTGTCCATATTCATATAAACTTGATTATATTTATTTATAATTTATTATTATAAAAGTTATTTCTTTATTTATTATCATTGTCATAATTATTGTGATTATCATTATTATTAATATTATGTTTTGTTTTTGTTTTTTTCTTGGGGGGGGGGGGGTGGGGGCTAAATTTAATGAAGAATCCTTTGTAGAAACTTAAAATCCCAAATCATCTCTTTTTTATATTCCTATTTCGATATGCCCATTGCGACCAACACTGTTCCATAATATATGAGTGATAACAGGCATTCCTTTGTTGTTTTGATTATTAATGAAATTTATTGTACATCCCTGGGACACTGTCATAATCGTCCGTTTCAGTGTACGGGTGCTACTTTCCTAGAAAATCGTACCCATTCCCTCATCCCCCATCTATCCCTCTCTATCTTTCTATTTTCATTTTTTCTTTATTTCTCTCTCTCTCCCTTTCTCGCTTTTATTCTATCTAACCTCTTTAAAACAGTTTCATGTCTTTTATATACACACTTCAAATTCATATTGACTTTATTATCCAACTTGACTTGCAAAAGAGTACATTCTTACTTAATAATGTATTGTATAAAAGGGGAGATGTTTTACATATTATATAACTTCCTCCACAGATGCTGACTATGTTTTGATTTATTGACCTTTTTTCTTTTCTTTTGTGATTAGTTTTATACTAAAAATTAACGTATAATATATGAATTTGTAAAGAATACAATCATTCACTTATTCTCACTCGTGAAGCATTATGGTTGTGGTATTTCATGGAAATGTCTCACAACATACTTTGTACAGGTATTCGTTTGTAATAAAAAGCGAAAAACACCTTGACATGTTCGATCGTATTCTCTTCTGTTTAATTCGCTAGAGGTCACCAGCTCATCGTTCATTTCCTTCGAAGACATGCGATACGAAAGGAATGATGATGATAATGACGAAAATAATGATGGTGAAGATGATGATGATAATGCGGAAGATAGTGGCGGCGGCGATGATGGTGGTAATGGTGGAGATTTAAGTGAGGATGGAGATGATTTTGCTGTTAATGATAACGATGACTAGCGGCCGTAGTGATGATGGTGATGATAATGAGTATGGTGGTAGTAATGGTGATGATGATGGTGGTGGTGATGGGGATGGTGATAATGGTGATGGGGATGCTGCTGCTGCTGATAATGATGGTTACTATAATGCTGATAGAAATGATACGGATGATGATATTAAGAATGATAATGATTATGATGTTTCTGGTGATGTTGTTGGTGATGGTGGCGATAATGACGATGCTGATGAAATGAAGATGGTAAACAATAAAATTGTGAACACACCTCAAAAGTCTGCAAAACACACGTACTACTCATAATTTGTGTAAATAATTAAGTTTGTTTAATATTCAAACACAGAAAGCTCAATAAGATTTCATGCAAAGCGTTCTAAATGTTTTTGTTACACCGATCTTAAATCAAGCTGGAGCTAACGAACTTTGGATTACCTCCCCCTACGTCATTCTCGATGCAAGAGAAATGGCTAGACATTCTTTGTTCGCAGATGGCGCTCTTAAAGAAATAGAAACGCGCTCTGATTAATCAACCTTTTCAAAAATATGTCTGCCCCAAATGGATTAAAAAAAAAAAAAAAATACAAAACTTAACCAATCTCCCCCAAACAAACTAATGAAACAGCACAGCAAAAGCAAAAGCAACAACAAGGAAACAACTAAAAACATACTTATTACTATTATCCCCAAAATACCGATGTAATTCCTATATTGGGTAAATTCAAAGAATTTCCCCCTAATTACAATTAAGCTTAATTTGAATAAAGTTGCGATCCATAAGCCAAAGATAGATATGCTAAACAGGAAACATATGTCCGTTCATTCTAGAATTACAAAATGGATCTACGAGAAAATGAACATCTATGATAGGATTCATTAGGTTTTTCATGTTGAATGATTATCGTTTCCAAAGTGGTATCACATTGATATCTGGATATCACCGTTTTTAAATTTTCACACAATTAAGATATGACATGGACAATGGTTATAGATAATGGTTATCATTGAGAAAACGTTGACCAACACGGTGCCAACCTATATAGTTCCTATTGACAGCCGAATTTGATTTTAATCGGAAAATTTAGAAGACGTAGCTACACATATATAGTTTAATAGTACATTTTATGTGCTTAATATCAAAGTCATTTATATCTGAGTAATAGCATCAAAACGTTTTCTGTGATTTAAAAAACTATTAATACACAATTATGAAAAGTAAAAGAGCCAACAAAAAGCGTTTATATAGTCATCAGCTCAATTGCATGCATTGCAGATATATCAACATAATAGCTATGTCCTTACACGTCGATCCACTCGTTATATTTAAGTTTATCAGTTGCCAGGACTAAGCACTACAGAGAAAGAAAGGGAAAGAGAGACAAAGAAAAACGACGATTAATGATAGAAATAACAAAAATTATTATGTAATATCACATATTCTTATGATATAACACTTTTAAGTGCGTCATAAGGACTAAAGATATCACTACCCGGCCTTTAGCTCCGACGTAACGTTTAATACACTCAAGGACAAAAGCCTACACGATTCCAGTTCCATTTGAAATAAAATAATTAATATTTTCATGACATTGGTTTTCTCAATCATTTAAATATAGAAGACAAAATTAATTTACAATTGTTTATGAGCGGCCAAGTGCAGAATTGCGAAACAAAATTTAACATTGAAAGTTAATCTTATGGAAGAGTCGGTTCATTTTGGCTTTCGTATGAAGTTAATGAGATAGCTGAGTTCCTCACTCCCTGCATTTCATTTTAAAAGAAAGTAGAAATGCCCCCTGAACATGATTGCTCTTGAAGAGTTGAAGTACCCCCATATTCGGCAGATGACTAGTACTAGCTAAAGTGTTTGCATCCAACAGTCAATGACAAATGTGCGTGTAGTCCCATATACCCCTTCTGTGCCAAGATCGTGCGATCTTTGCCAAGATTGAGCCAAGTTTCGTTTCATTTTTAACATTTAAAAACTTCAGAATCTACTCCTCTGTAATACATTTAATAGGAATTAATAGGAATTAATAGTTATCTTTTTAATCAATCTGTATAAATATGCTAGCATAAAATTGTATTTTGTTTCTGGGGTTAACGCATAAAGAGACTTTCCAGTCCATTTTGAAATTTAAAAGTCTATCTTTATTTTTTTATCATTATTAGTATTTATTAATAATATTATTATCATTATAATAATTATATTTTAATTATCATTATTAGTATCATTATCATCATTACTATAACTATCATTATCATCATAACTATAACTACCATTATAAAATAATCAATCTTTCACAATGCCACTGCTTGACACCAGTACTCAGCTGTATGTTTAAACGGACTTACTAGGTGAGGTAGGATTTCCATGAACTTTAGCCTGGTCTTTTGAAAAGTTCACCTTCCTAATAGAATAAGAAATTAAATAAAAATGAAAAGTGCGATAAAAAGTTTGAGGATGAAAGAAAAGGTCATCATAATAATAAAAAGGAAGTGTACAAACAGACGGGATAATATCGAAAACATATCGCTAGTGGGAGTCGTTTGTCTCGCAACGTTGGTCAACAAGGGATCCAAAAGATCACGACGTTTCGTGCGCCGCTGCAACACTTTGTCAGGATCGCCCGTAGAGTATAACAAACGCTTGCTTACAATATATGTTATTACCTGACGAAGTGTTGCAGCGGCGCACGAAACGTCGTGATCTTTTAGATCCCTTGTTGACATTGCGAGACAAACGAATATCACTAGCGATATTATTTTCGATACTACATCCGCAATGAGTAATATATTTAGGATTATTAAACGGTATAATGCAAAATAATTTGCGATGGTGCTAGGTGAAGCTCGTGATAGTTGTAAGACACTTTTTCTGGTCGACCATGTGTATCTTTTGCGGTAATTTCTTACGATTGTTTAGCCTTAATACGGTACCCAACATTCCAACGACGTAAACTTAATGCTAATCCAAAACCTAACCTACAAGCCAATTGTAACACTAACCCTTACCCTCTAATTTAAGGAAAATAATATTCTGGTTTGATAAAGAGCTTAATACACAGACAATGTGGATTAATTTCTTGCTATAAAGGACGTTAGTGCCTGACAATGATTCGAGCCCTCAACCCTTGGATTGAGAGAGATGACAAGTTAATGACAAAACCACTATACCATGACACCTCCACAAATCGGAGCACCCTCTTTAAAAGGCCCTGTACAAGGACACATAAATGTAGGTCTACCTGAAATCCCATGATGGCAATGACTTCTTGAAAGTCAAGGCAACGTCAAGAGCCCTGTCAATAAAATATTAACACGTGCGAACATTACACGTAATACGTGATTCCAATATGGTTTATATCGGATGTATAATAGGGTAAAGAAATTGTCTGCAGTTGCTTTTTGAAGGTCATCGCTATTTCGAAGGACATTGTTATTATGATGACAGTGCTTTCTTATTTCTTTGGCGCCAACAAACAAAGATTCAAGATTCAAGATTATTTTGATGTAGATTATGTAGCGTACCCGATCGACGGTGGACGTTTCTTTGGTCGGCAGATCAAAATGATGACAATAATGATCAAAACGATCAGAATTACCGATCCCACAGATATTCCGATGATAGCGGGCGTCGACAGAACTGTAGGGAAAGAGGAAATGATTTAATTAATTCTTGACTAGTAAACTGCATATATGTACTGATAATTGTATTTGATCTGTAAGGATAACTTTGCAGTTTTTAGGTATTTAGTTATATACAAAAGGGGTAAGGAAAAAAAAATTCATACAGGATCCAGAATCGAATACCTAAAGCTTAACATCTTAAAAGAAGAAAAATAAAAGTTAAAATTCATACATCAAAATGTTATTCTACCTCATCTAGATTTTGAGGACATAATATGACAAACTCCTTATGGAAAATATATAAACCAATTACAAAAGCTACAAAATAGAGTAGGAAGGACTATTCTAAATATAAAGCCTCAATTACATTGTTTTGTTCAATGCATGACATACTGCGCTGGGAGACTTTGAAATCTCACCAGAAATTCCATATTAGTGTAATGATGTTTAAAGTCCTCAATAGTAATACACCAAATTTGTTAACTGTAAACAGGGACATTATAGAGAAGAACTGGAATCAAGCCGCTCTCCTTTGACCCCGTGCTCCAAGCCGCCGAAAATTTATGCGCTAATTTGCAACTGTTGACCAGGTGGTGAGATAAAAGAGCGCATGAAATCACATCAGAAAATGGTATCACAGCAACTGTTCGCTGTCCCTTTCAATGATTTCTCATCCACTGTTGAATGTGTTAAGAGTAGAACAAGCAAACACAGACCTGTGTAATTTCTTCCTTTTTTAAACTACAAAAATACAAAAAACACGCGAAAACACGCATTAGCAAACTTAACATTATTGAAGATTTTAAATCATGGATTCAATAACGGGACATTAAAACATGCACAAAATAGCGCATTGTCCTAAAATATTGAGTTTTTGTCAGGATGTAATTTTTCTTTTACCAACTCTGGCACACAAATTATAGGAAGGACGGAGTACTAAATTTGGAAATTCGTTTGATGCACTATTCCCATTACAATCCCCATATAAGGTTTTTGATTTACACTGAAATTTGCCGGTAATTTAATATTTTGTAATAAATGTAAAACTGGTGCCTGGCTTCCGAAAGTCCCCGCAGTGGAAGTGCGATTCGGAGCATGGAACTTCAAAGCCAAGTGGAATGTTACACATCCCATCGTTACGCTTTAGAACTCACGAATGCGTTTGAATAAATTACAATAGTTTCGTCTCCTTTTTTACTACTCCCTGCTGTAAACAAATTTTATACCCCAATACCTTATCAGCTATGATACAATAATCTTTCCCTTCCCAGACCCTGAGCAAACAACTGCAAACGCCCATTCTTTCTACAGGGAGGGGGTCGGGGCTAGGATATACGATATCATTTCCATTTATATTAGCAATTGTATATCTCTCTCTTTATCCAAACGATCTCTCTTACAACTAAATTAATCAATACCGTCAGACCTTAACATAATTTATTTAAATACTATTGTTTTTTTTGTTTTGATTTGTCCTGTTTTTTCCATCTTCTCCCTCTTCCTTTTCTTTCTGGTCTCCATGGAAGACCATGAAAAAAAAAATCTTATGCCATAACATTTTTTCGCTTGCTTATGTAAAATTTATATTCTGTGTATATTTATACATTTTAATATTTGTTATTATTCTCTTTTGATTGTTTAATTTATATGATGAAAAACAATACATTTTAACAAAAATGTAGGGCTCATTCAACATCGACCTGGCTAACTGCTTACCTAGCCCATGTGGCTTCATAGTCATAGAGGTCATAGAGGTCATAGTCGTCTGCCCGGATGCCTCACTGATGCATGTCGGGATATCGCCAGCACTCCAGGTACCATCTGATTGGCAGGTTAAGTTGACCACGTGACTCAGTTCGAAGCCGGCCTCGCACACGAATCTAGCCACGCCCCCTGCCATGTAGGTCGTCGCAATGGCACTTCCGTTAGCAGGGGCGGGAAGAGTTGGGCAACTCACTTAAGATATGATGAGAACAAAATATGAGCCGTTGAAAGGATAAACAAAGTTTTAGATGGATGTTCGACTGCACGCACTAGAAAATGTTGCCTCCGCTATAGAGCGATTTTACAAACAAAAACAAAGTTTGATTGTAATACATTAACAGGTTTTCAGAATATCGTGATTACACATATAATCATAGAACACAGCAAACAATAAAGATAAGGCGAGTTGCAAATGAGGAATCAAACCCGTATCAATTGGTTTACCCATCGAGTTTGTATTGAATACTAGTAGATTATTAAAGCCCATTGCACACGATTTTTTTTTGCTGACTGAAGACAACGTTATTGACTTGCGCGGTCTTTGACATGCCTTGTTAGACAGAAATCATAACCAAAATGAATGCGTAATGAATAGTTCAAACACTGCCTTGAATTACTGGTAAATGGATATTTACTTTGTTGATTAGACTTGGTAATAACGAAAACGAAATTATGCCTCATGCGCAACACGGACATAACAAGACATAATCTTGCGCCAGTTTGTCATAACCTTGCGTCAATAAGTTGCATCTAAGAGCCCGACATTAAAAAATGTTTGAATTTCCGCGGCGTAAAGGTTGGAATCAGCGACGACGTTCACCCAGATACCAGAAATGAACACAAACGGCTGATGATCAAAGTCAGGCAATTAAGAGATGAAAATAAGTTTGCGTTCATCCCCAACTCCGTCCCGAGAGTGATTTAAAGGATGGCCACAAAGATGACCAAGGACCCCTAAAAACGCTTCGACCTTCAGATCTGAAAGATGGCAAAGAGGACACAAATGAATTCTAACATGTTGAAACAATAATTTGACCAAAATATGAACTCATCAATCGTCAACTGAATAAGTATTTATTTTGGTAGAAAGAGATGGAGTAGAGACGCCGAGAATAGTTGAAATCTAAAGTAGTTTTTTGACCGTTTTTGACTACTTCCGTTTCATTTCTAGTCACATATAGCTACGATTGATGTACTTTATATGTCTATTTAAGGCCTACTATGCTTGTATAAAGTTGCTTCATTTTTACTCTGTCAAATGACAGTAGACGGACAATCCAGACAGGAAGGGATTGTTTATTTTTTAGATGTTTACTTAGAATTTGTGTATACTGTTTTATCTTTCTGTTCTTTGACTTTTTTCTTTTCACTTCTTTTTAATTTCATTTTTTTATATTCTACCTTAAAAATTAAGCAATTCTCAACTTATATTATACTGTTCTACTTTAAATCATCAAACACAGTAAATGTTCATATGAAAATTACTGGTATAGGCCCACTAGTCATTGTTATACCACTTCATGACTTCGAATATGATAAGTGACTCTATAGATATTAAGATCGGGTCGATCAATGTACGATGGCTTGGCAACCATTTAAAGAGACAATGTGTATTTAAAGATAAAGTTTAGTACTGGTAATGCGATTGCATTGTGAAAGAAAAGGTGTGGAAAGGATCAGAAACAGTTGATCATGTAGCATGTAAGTATTGGTGTGCACTGCAAGGTTCTGGAGTCATCAAAATCATAATAAATTTGACCGAGTCTTGGTAAAGTAACAAGCACTCACATAGAAAGCTATATATGGGACAACACACATGGTGTCGGGGCTAGTACCACCTTGATTTCCTTGTCTTTCTATGCTCATTACTCAGCCAGTATACATTTTCTTCCAGAATTGTTTGGCACATGTCATTTATTTGTAATCATGAACATTCAGTGTAAGTTTTGTTTGATTCTGTGAAATTTTTTTTTTTTTTTTTTACCAGTACTGGAGTTTATCTTTAATTGGATACGGAATTCTGTTCACCATGTGATATTTTTACAAGAATCTCATTCTGTTTCAGCTGTAGAAAAGAGATGGTTTCAGAAGTGGAGCAACAATAATATATTCAGTCATGGTCGTTCAGATAGTGCAGGGGTTTGCAGGCTTTTAAAACCTTCGGCGAATTTCGACATTTTAAGTGCGCACATAGATAGTAATGGTCGTATTCTTTTAGTTATAGTGAAGATTAATGATAGTCCGGTTACGCTTGTAAATATTTACGGTCCAAATAGTGACGATGGTATTTTTTTTCGGAGTTACACGAATTGTTGTGTAATTATGGTGAAGCACCATATATATTAGGGGAAGATTTTAATACTATTTTGAATCCAAAGCTGGATAAATTTCAAAGATTGATTTAAAACCACCTTAATTGTTATAATGCCATTCAAAATATTATGTCTGATTTTGAATTAGTTAATGTATGGAGGCATCTTCACCCTGCAGCATTGAAATATACTTGGATGTCTCACGATTGTAAAAGTGGAAGTCGTTTAGATTACTTTTTGATATCACAGAGTTTGATTCAGTCAGTTAAAAAAAGTGAAATATCTTTTGGTTATAAGAGTGACCATTTATTTGTATCCCTTCATTTGACAAAATCTGTTATAAAGAGAGATCCAGGATTTTGGAAACTCAACACCGCATTATTTGGCAGACGCAGATGTTGTTGACTCAATAAGAGATGAAATTAAAATAGTTTTGACTGGAAATGCAGGTTCGAGCTTTAGCAAAATATGGGAATTTATGAAATTTAGAGTTCCTTGGAAGTTCATCGAAATTTCCAAAAAGAAGAAAAGGGAACGCAGAATGCGATTAGAAGAGTTAGAGAAAGATATAAATAGGTTAACCAACAATAAAGAATGTTGTAATAATGAAACTTTACGTAGCGATTTATATGACAAGAAAAAGGAATATGAACATTTTCAAGAAGAAATTGTTCGTGGTATTATTTTTAGAACTAAAGCTAAATGGGTTTCAGAAGGTGAACGTAATACCAAATATTTTTTTAATTTAGAAAAAAGGAACTTTCAGCAAAAATTTATTTCCAGGCTTCAAACGGCAAATGGACCTATTACAGATTATAAAGATATTCTCGAGGAAGAAAGGTTGTTTTATCTTAATCTATATGCATCTAAAGCGAAACAAGATTTTCCTTGTGAATTCATTAACAAAATTGTTTTACCTAATCTGGATATCAAAGACGACGATTTTTCTTTAGGTGATCTCATTTCAGAGAAAGAGTGCTATGAAAGTATTACAACTTTTAAAAATGGCAAGTCACCGGGATCAGATGGACTTCCAATAGAGTTTTACAAAACGTTCTGGTCTGATATCAAAGACTTGTTATGTTCCGTTTATAATTCTTCTTTGCTTGATAACATTCTTCCTTTATCTATGCGAACAAGTATTATTACTTTGTTACCAAAAAAAAGGAAGAGATTTATTACTTCTCAAAAATTGGCGACCAATATCACTTCTTAACAGTTATCATAAGATTTTATCAAAAATTCTCTCATTACGAATGAAAAAGGTTTTAGGGCTTTTGATAAGTAATGACCAATATGATTTTATTAAAGGACGTTTTATTGGAGAGAACATACGATTTTTGAATTGAATTGAATTGAATTGATATCTTTATTTATACAATGTTAAAAAAGCCCAAACAGTTACAAGACTGATTTCCATTGGGGCCGTGTGAAACAATGTAAATACATCGAATGAACATAGAAATGATAATGGTATATCAAATGACATATTTAAAACAAACAAGAAATAATCAAGATAAATATCTAAAAAGATAACGATAGAATAGTACTGCTGAAAACGTATATTAATATGAATAACAATAATCATGAGTGTCCAAACAAAAGTACTGTATATATACTTCAAATTAAAATAGGTAATACGAATTGTTACTAGTGCATATAAACTGCCAGAAATGATATTTACAAAATATAAAAAAGTAAAATGTGGCTGGCCAAGATACTGCATTATTACAATTATGGATATGATTACAATTTTATTTTATTTAAGTCTGTAAAAGAACACTTGAAAGTGAATTGAAATAACAAGCACAGCAGATAAAACTCTATTATTTAATCATTTTCGGATAAAATGAAATGAAACTATATTACATATTATGGAAATTTAAAATACCCGAGCAGATATATACACAACAATTTCAATTCAAACAACACACAAATGGACACATCAAAAATAAGAAGGAAACATTCGAAAGTTCATAGACATATTTGAGCATAGTATACTGTATATTATTATAAATTGGTTATTCTTTTAAGTCCTGTTGTGAAACTGTACTTGGTTTGTGCAGCTTGCAATTCATGTGGAAGTGAGTTCCATAGGCAAGCGCCTCTGTACACAAATGTGCGTTTGGTACTATCCGTTTTAGGCTGGATTGTCTTAACACATAGATTGCCACTTCTCGTATTATATGGTCTTTCTCTGAACGAAAATTTATCAATTAGATAAGAAGGGGCTTTTTTATTAAGTATTTTGAAAGTCATTAAAGCGATATGTTCTTTCCTTTTCTGTTCAAGCGTATCCCATCCAAGTTTATTAAGGTTAAAGTGTCCCGATGAATCCCAAGGGGTATCATTTATTATTCGAGCTGCCCGATTTTGAATTTTTTGGAGATCATTTTGTAGGCACTTTCCACAGTTTCCCCATATTACATCACAATAGGAGAGGTGGGATAAAATCAATGCATTATATACTAATTTCAATGTATCTTTACCAACAATATTACGTATTGATTTTAACATAAACAATCCACTACTACATTTCTTTTGTACAGATTTAATATGGTCTGTCCATGATAGAGTTTCATCCACAATCACTCCTAAATGCTTGCACGTAGTAACTCTTTTCAGAGGGGTTCCATCTATGTTAATATTCAAATTTGTATTACCAGCTAGTTTTAGACGATTTTTTGTTCCTAGTACAATGTATTCTGTTTTATTTATATTTAAACTTAACTTATTGACATCAAGCCATTTTTTCACATTTACTAAATCTTCGTTTACCTTGTTTTCCAGCTCAGAAAAGTCATTACTAGCATAATATAAAATAGTGTCATCAGCATACATATTTATT